GGACATAAAAACAAAACGTAGGAGACATACTGTGGAGTTGCTGCTAAAGTCTTAGGTATCCAGCAATTGTTCCTTTTACCTTCTATCTTTCAGTCATGTTATGATACTCTTGAATTCTTTCCAGCATATTTAGTTGCATTTAGAAGAGAGGAGCATGGAACAATGCCTTCACTATCTTGTTGAAAACCGAAATCCCATCTTTTTTCTTTTTGTAGAGTATATATGTCTCAACAAAGCAATGTTAAATTTTCTTGTGTTTTATACTTCTTAGTATTATGAAACACACATTGTTAGGAACTTAATCTTTGACATTTTATTTTGAATGCCTAGGCAAGCTCCCTTTGTGCAATTTTGTTTATATATTAACCTCAGTACACCTCTTTAATACTCATTTCACACCTTGAGGAACTACTTAACAGTTTTCCAAAATGCTGCATTATTTTGTAGAATAAGAAATAAATTTCTGTGCTTATAGAGAAGAATATTAACCATGACTTTCGATTTTTGCAGTTTATTTTGCCTTGACATTGATAGAAGCATAAGAAAAAAGATCCAACCCTTTGTAGCTTGATACATTTCTACAAGTCTACAACTGATATTCTCTGATACATAAGCAGATATATATGTAAAGGTATTTATATTTATATATATTTATATATGTATATGTCATGGCTAAGAATTTCAAAATAAAAGAGAAACAATTATGAGATTAATGCACTTGTCATTTAATTATGTAATTAGACACATGAGCAATTCAGTTCTACATTTCCCTTGTTAAGTATTTTTTGCATCACAAAACCATCTCAAGGTATAGGGACTTTATTATCACTTGAGCCTGTGCCATAGCCAAGAAATACTTGTTTTACTTCTGCATACTTCAGTAGTTGGCTGTGGCTCTTTGAACATATTAACTGGACTCTCAAATGTCCAAGGCCACAGATGAGTCATCTAGTGAGCTCTCTTCATTTAGTAACCCATTGCAGGCTTTTTATATGACCACTTGGAAGAGTTTGTGAGACACAGAAAACAAGCAAGACTTCTTGAGCCTCAGGTAGAGTGTTGGCCCTCACTGTTGCTGCACACTACGGATAGGTCATGTGTAGTGTTCCTGAGATGTGCTGTAAAATCCCATTGTAATGGAGTCTGGGTAATGGGAAGGCATAAGGACTACATCTTTCCTTGCAGTCTTTTTAGTGGTTATAAAAAATGTGATTTTTCCCAACTGTTTATGATCCTGAGCTGACTCTAGCAAATCAGTTAATCATTATGGCACAGGACTCTTACAAGACATATTCTGAAATGTAAGAAAGTCAATCAAATATCATTAGACAAAGTGTTTTTCTATAAATATTATATAATAATTATTTTTATTCTTAAAGAAAAACTTAAAAACCATGAGTACTATTCCTATGCTCACCTTGGAGTATGGAATGCTTTTTCATACAAAGCCTTCACTTGCTTACCAGTCCTTTTTGTTTTCAGATGACAAACTTTATTCCATATTGAAGATATCAAACTCAGCTATGTCTAGTTACCAAATCTTAATACTTTTGTTTTCCATCTTTTAGATACTGCTTATATTCTTTACACTGAAGACATTACTGATGTTTATATTTTTATTTTATGAAAAAATAAAGCAAAATTTCATAACAAAATAATGACAATAACAATGTCTGTTTAGCAAATTGGAATATGTGTGCTTATAGCTATTGATGGGAAGGGTAATTTGAGATTGTCATGCTGGTATATGACACTTTATTTTATAACAAAAGACTGATGTTTGGAAGACGTAGAATATTTTTGTGAACAATAACAGGGTGCTGGAGTGAGTTTAGGCAAGAAGAAAATTTACTGTAGCTCTCCTAAAATCAATTGTGAAAGAACTTGTTTCTTCTTTTTGTAATGTTGAAGATGTTAACATTTTTCGAATAGTGACAAACATCCTATTTAAAAAAATGTTCTCAGGTTTGAAACTCTTATTGTTCATAAAAATGAAATAATCAGTGTTGAAAATATTTTTAAATGTACTCCCTCATAGGATGATACTATTACTTTTTCTCACAAAGTCTGTGATGAAACCCTATACTGAAACCTAACTAGTACTTTACGGCTTGCCTCATTAAATCATATATCAGGCAGAGTGATTTTTTTAAATTTAAATATGCATGACTAGCATTTCAAAAAACTTTATAATTATTGATTTAATTTTCCCTCATTTAACCTTTTCATTTCTGATATTTATGGTTAAATTTGTTTTAGTTAGTAATATTTTTGTTTAATGTTTCAGGGAATAATTATTTTACAAAAGAGAAATTATAGAGTACATAGATAATATGGATGTATCTGCATTAAATGCCACATTCTGAATAACTGAAGGAAGCAAGGTATTTCAAATGTCACATGCATATACTTAAAGTGTATATTTAAATTTCCTAGGTAAATTTTTAATCAAATATGGAGATTGACTTCTGGCTCTCAGCAAACTGGAATTGAAGTACTTCTAACTTTTTTCGCTCATTGAAGTACAATTTAAGATTCTGAACAACATAAAAAAGTAGTGGTGAGCTGACCATCAGTGAGCTCAGAATCTTGGGAAAGACATGGTGGTCAGAACCCAGGAATTTTTTTAATTTGTTTTGCTTATCTAACCCAATTGGATAAAACTTTGCAATTTACTCTTGCTCCTATTTTTATTAAGTAATAAATTGATCAATATATGTTTGTTTTGTTGTTTATCCTGCTATCTATAGTGAACTTTGCCTGACCTGTTCATTTTTGTTTATCGTTTTTACTGGATATCTTGGTTTCTTTCACAGTGTTACACTGACACTTTTTGCAGAACTCCCAACCATTGCTTTTACTGGAAAATAAGTAGGTAATTGTGGAACTGTGGCTGGTAAACACTGAAAAAGAGACACAAGCTGAAACATCTTGTTATCAAGATTCCTTTATAGTTTTTCATTTCATTCTTGGGTCTGTGTGCATCTGGGACTTTGAGCATGGTCATTTTGACCATTGTAACTTGGTATGAATCCATTCCCCTCTGTACCAAAGAAATCCAGGGTGACCTGCTCAGTGAGAGCTGCATGTTGCTGCTGTGAGTATTTCTACTTTCATCCCTAACACTGGCCCAATAGAACACAGACACATGAATACTTCTAATTTTTTAAATCTGAGAAGTTTGATATGTATTTACCATTTCAGAGATAAACCTCATAAGCCCCACAGAATACATTAATAGAAAAAAAAATAAATGAATGAAGGAAATGGGGTTAGGTTAAAAGTATGATGTCATGTAAATACAACTAAGGGAAGACTCTAGAAAAAACTTACATTTCAAAATATGATAATAATAATTGTGGTGCACTTAATATACTAAAGTTTTTTTGACAAAAGAAGCAATTATGAATTCTTAACTTAAAAGTTAAAATAAATTTTGAATCCCATACATGGTTCATGGCTGCATAAGGGGACATGCAAAGTTGCAGAGATACAGGACTAAGGCATAGGACTTATCTCTCAGATTGATTAAGAGTGATTGAAAATTGCTGCAATGTTGGTGGCCTAAACAGCACTCCTTTGTTATCTCACAGTTTCCGTGGGTCAGAATAGACACAGCTGATTTCCTTGTTCACGATCTCACCAGGCTGTGCTCTCAGGTGGAACATGGGATTTTTTTCCCCTCAAGCTTATTTAAGCTGTTGGCAGAATCCAGTTCTTTGAATCTGTACCGCTGAGGTTCCACTTTCTCGTCTGCCAATCAAATGTTGCTCTGAGCTGCAGCAGTCAGCTTTGAGAAGATTTAGGCATGTGATTCTCTCCCTGACACAACCGCTTACTTCTTCCAGGCCAGCAGCAGAATGTGTTCCAGTCTAATTCTCTGACCCTTCGTGAATGCTTCGTGATCAAGTCTGTTCACCCAGGATAGGCATCAAATTGGTTATCTCAAAATTAAATTAAACGATTTTGGATACTGCGTTTACAAAAGCCCTTTGACTTTGTCATCTCATGATCCTCATCCTTGTGGCACAAGCTCAGTCCACCGTCAAGACTTTACTGGAGTGGGAATCTTGAGCACCGTCTCAGAATTATTCTTACCACACCTTGAAAACTCTCATTGCACTTTAGGGTTCCCAACTTGATTATGATTCAGATTTTTCTCAGAAGCTCTTAAAAATGTATATCCATAGGCCTCTGCATGAATCTGAGTCACATTCAAAATCAAAATATATCTTCTGAATCTAATGTATATTTTCTCTAGTTACACTAGCAACTCCTACAGAGGCAGCCCCACTAACATGGAAATGTGCTAATTGCTACTCTACTAAATGTAGATATCACAGGTAGCTATCATTTTATTAAAGTATTAGAGTCTTTTTAACACTGCAATTAAGTTCATGAGAGGACAAGTAATGTATATGGGATCATTAAAAATTAAATGGCAAATGCAGAAACATGTGAGCCTTGGGAATGGGCAAGCTGTTGCTCCAACATGAATTGTGTTGCTTCTTATGGTTCAACACACTGTTCTACCCCAGACTTGGGTTAATGCTTAAGTCTCATAAAAAAGTCATTTCTTCTTGGCATCAAATCAATAGGTGATTCCTTACAATAAATGTTTTAAAATATTATCACTGATATAAACTTGAAGCCTTGGTATCAACAGTTTAGTTTCAAATGTCAAGTGTTAGAAAATGAAGTTTTGGGCAGATTACCAAATAGTCTCTTGCTTTTCCCTTCAAGTCAATAAAGTGAGTCTACTTAATCTTTTGGCACTAGCCATTTGGAAGATAATATCTTATTTCTGCCCTTGATTCATGAAGACCTGAGCTATTCCTAGAAATTGATGAGAAAATCTGGTAAAATTGGATATAAATGTGCTCTGTATGAATGCCTGCCTTATGGGAAAAGGGAATACATGTCATATATACATTTCACTACTTCTATTTGGAATATTCATAGAATTTCTTTTTCTTTTTTTTTTCCCATTTTTTCTCTAGACTGCTTTCCAGAATGCTAAAATTGCCAGAGAAGTGATCACAGCAAAGGAAAACATTGCTCTACTTAAAATCAAGTAAGATCATTACATCATAATAAATTATTGTGAGTTCATCAATGAAAAAATCATTTCTTTAAGATAATTGTTTTCTTTGATATTAAGCATTTTGAAGCCGCTTTATCTGTTTTGGAAATACATCAGTTTTCTTCATACCCTAATGCTTGGTCATAGTTAGATTGTATTTCAGTAAATTTTTTCACAATGTTCATTTAAACACCTATATTGAATGAATTTTTTTCAACAAGCATCACTTAGAAGAAGGAGAAACATCCATTAGTTTCTGAGAGGTCTCCTTTTTCAGTTGCATGATCAAAGCCCCCTTATTAAGAGGAGAACTGAGTTGCATGCTGCAGGGAGCCTCCTTTGAGTCCTGAAGAAGGGAAAATAAGTAAGAGTCCTTTGGAGGCTCAGCAAAGGTGTTTCTGGATGTGCCATATAGCACTGGGGAACTGCCTCGTTCTCTTATGTTTGTCTTAAGCAATGGGTGACTTGGTGTGAAATTAGTAAAATGAATCAAATATACCTTCAGAAATGGTATGTGAATCAGCAGAGTGAAAGCCCATATACCATGAATGGCATCCCTGGCCTTATGCCAGGGCAAGTGTCTCCTTAGGAAGGAATCACATTGTGTTGGAAATGGAAAATCTGGAATTGAAGTTACTAATTGATTTTCCTAATATTTCTCATCGTAATTTTGGGTTCTTATGTCCTTAAACTGCAAAGACTTGCAGTGTGAATTTAGTGAAAAGTCAGAAAACTCACAGTCCTCTGTAATGTTCAAAAAATGCTAATACTGATAACATTGTATACATACATGCTAATACTGATAGCATAGTATACATATTGATACAGTAAATATACTTCAATATAATATAAAAATAGTAAGAATCCTTGAGCATATTTCCAAGTGTTATGAAAATCATGGAATGTTATGATTGGACTGGATGCATCCACATAAATTTTAGGAGAGCTCCGGCTAGATTCTGAGGGCCATTGCCAAGTTCAGAAGTACTTATTTGTGTTATAAGTATGCACGTGTCAGGGTCATTCTACTTACTGAGTACTCTGTTGGACTAGATAAGATCCAAAGTTTCCAAATTGTTTTTCATAGCTAGATCTTTTTTCATAGTTTGGGTTTTTCTTCTAAACAAAGCAAAGAGAAATCAAGGAGAAGCTCAGATGATAAAGGAGAGCTAAAAGAAGCATTTTCATCGGGGCAGGTATGGGTGATGTAGGACTTGGCCTCCCTTCCATTACCTTTCTTACCTCCATCTCAATTCTTACCTCAGTCCCCAAACCTTCAGAGTAAATAGACATCATCATTTCTTTGTACCCTGTCATTCTTTGCTTGTTCAGTCCTTCATTTGGAAGTCGTTAATTCTTCATGTGGAAGAATTAACTGAAGGACACATAGATCCCATGATACAAGTGGGGCTTATAAAATTCCATGTTGCTGACCATAAGTGGAAATGATTGTTTTAAAATTGCTTGGAGATTTACTCCCTCAAGTATTTCTCCCTTGGTCCTTACCTCTTCCCTGTGCAAAGCCCACTTTATATAATTTCAAAGGTTGTACACTATAAATTTTGATTAAAGCCCATTAAATAGTATAGCATCTTCTTATCCACAATTTCACATTTCACATTTTCACTTACCGTGGTTTTAGTTATGTGCAGTGGACTGTAGCTCAAAAGTATTAAATGGCAATTTCCAAAAGTAAACAATTCATATTACATTGTTACATATTACATTGTTCTGAGCAGCATGTTGAAATGACATGAGTCATCTTTTTTCCATAGTATACATACACTATATACTACCCACCCTTTACTCACTGAGTAGTTGTCTTGGTGATCAGATTAACTATTGCAGTATCAAATGGTTTTCTTAAAGTAACTCTTAATTTACCTACTAATGGCCCCAAAGGACAGGAGTAGTGATGCTGACAATTTTATTACAGTGTAGTATCATAATTATTCTATTTTATTATTGGTTATTACTCTACCTAATTTTTAAATACAACTTCACTGTGTGTGTGTGTGTGTGTAAGAAAAATATAGTATACATATAGAGTTTAGTATCATGCACAATTTTAGGAATCCACTGGGTGCCTTCATACATAAGAAGTCAAGTTATACGTGTTTTCCCTGATGAAATGGAAAAGGGCAGTTGTAAGGGGAGTAAAGGAAATTCACTTGACAGTTGCTGCTGCCTTTCTCAAAGCACCTTCTTAAGAAAATTCCAAGAAGTAATTCACATTTTGCTTTTTATATCTGGGGGGATTGCAAACATTTCTCTAGCTTCTTAAGTACTTATCTTGACCTCATATATTTTATTCCTGCTCATATTTGCTCACATGTAAAGCTAGACTTTCCCCAGTTTACATGGGAAGTAGCCCCATGAACAAGAGCACCCTGCATGGCTAGGGTGCCAGCAGCTGTTACAGCTGGACTGTCAACTCCTGCCTTGTGTTTACGGCCTCTCCACTTGGCTAGAGGAAATCTCAGACCTCCAGAGCATTTTCTTATTGCCAAAACAATATAAGTGTTTATAAGTCCTAACAATGAAACATAAATATTTAATATTTTAAGAGTAAATTTTATCCTGTTACCGCTTTTCCATATTTCGTGTTTCAGGGATATTTGGAGCATCTGCCCTTTACTTCAATTGGTATTTCCACAGTTTGTCTCCTCTTTATGCTATTGTAACTTCTCACAGGATGAAATTTCTGTTTGGCTATTTGCCACCAGAATTGTTGCTCAAATTCCTCGTCCTTTCAAGCAGGTTTATGATATTATAGAATTACTAACTTCACTGGTAAAACATCTCTATTTCTAGTTTTGCTGACTGTGCTGCTTATAATAAATAAAATGACGTAAAGGACAAATTTAACCAAGATTAACCTTGATCCCAAGACTGACTTCATATCCCAGCAAACTTTTGTAATCTCTTCTGCCTGTGACCCACTGCCCACCTCCCTAGTGTATTGGCTCTGACCAGATAAGCGTCCTGAAGGGGAGGGCAGATGAGGTTCCTGGAGAGGAGAGTCAAAGATGTTGAATTGTTTTCTGTTGTTTGCTTTTGGAAAGATATGAGAGTTTAAAGAAAGTAATTATAGCTTCTCCTTGTGACCCCATGATTTACTATCATGCTAAAATGTAAAAACGTATGGGATCCCAATAAATGTTTTAGGAAAATTAATCAGTTGATGACACTCTTTCCTGAGCTACATTCTGTGCATTTCAAATCCTTTCTTCCATGGCTGAGATAAAGGTGGCTGCACTATATTTTTTAAACACTGGCTGCACTTTTTAGAAAATCAGGTTGGTTGTTCTCCTTTCTGTCTCTGTCAGCAGAAATAGGCTTTCTGCCAGTTCTTTGTGTTGCTTCCCTTGTTGAGAAGACTGGTCGGGACTTTGGGCTTGGTGATTCCTTCTCTGCCTGTTCAGAAAAAGTTTGATTATGCAGTTAGGATAGTTCTGCTCAGGTAAAAACCACCAGCAGCCTCTTAGGTCTCACATTGTGGACCTGTGTTTACCTGTGAAAAAGATTCACCAATAATATTTAGGTCACCATTAGACACCTTTGGCAATAAAGGAAAAACAAAAGGTTCCAAGAAATATTCTCATAAATATTATCGCACTGAATGCTGGTCATTGTGTCAAAATGGCAGAACACAATTAAAAGAATCCTGGGGTATACCAACTACAATTTTGGAAGCAGATAGTGTTTCCCTGTGAGTGTGGACCAAATTGATATATTCTCTGCATCACCCAGCCTCCTGCTTTCCAAATCTAATCTGCTGCTCTGGCTTTCAGGCTGTGATATCCCTGATGATTGTGAACACCATCTTAGTGATTGTAAAGTTCAGTCAAGGTTTCATTTCCTAACATCTCTGATTGTCTCCCACTCTCCTGGGTGCAGAGGCTAGTCTGCGGACAGCATCCATAGTGATTACCACAGAAGAGGAGCCCCAGATGCTAGGATGGGAGTTTTACCCCAGGAAGGCTCACAGAGACCTTGATTTGTTCAGAAGTCCTGGTTACAACCAGCAGAAGCTCAGAGTCTTATAGTAAAACTTAGAGAGGTCTGATTCTGTGGGTCTTCCTACTGCAACCTTACAGGGCCTGCGCAGGCATAGGACCTCAGGTTTAGACTATAATCCCCAAAGATACAATCCTGAATGTTGAAATTCTGAAAGATCAGTATCTCTAAAATCTAAAATCCCTAGATTTTAATATCTATAAAAATCAAATTTTGAAAATATGATTCTAGAAAAAATAAATTTAAAAGTTCTTAAATGAGGATTTATTTGTGAAATGTGTAAAAACATGACAAAACACTTAACAGGCTACTTTATACAATAAAACAGGCTGTAATAACATATATAAATACTCAGGTATAACAACAATAGTTACATGGGTATAATAGTCACAATCAGACAAATCATATCCACAAAGAAATAGATAAAAATAAAAATGTAAAAATGCATATCATTATACTGGTTATTGTGTCAATCTAGTACTGTAACTGCAGTCATCTGACATAGTGAAGGACAGTCTGTCTCATGAAAAGATAAAAAGCCAAAGTGGATCACTACAGTATATGCAATCTTACAAAGAACTGAGATCTGAAGAAATTTGGCTTTTTACAAAGGAAAATATGCAAATAGGACATCAAAAATATTTTTATACACATGAATAGTATACACACAGGTCAATGTTGTAATAATGCATTTTTGCAGGGTCAAATTTGTGAAAAGTAAATGCATAAAACCAATGAGAAGGCTGGGAATTGAGCTCAGTGGCACTGTGCCTGCCTCACAAGTGCAAGGTCCTGAGTTCTACCCCCTGTACTTAAAAAGAAAACCAATAAAAAATGATGGAAATCAATTAGAAAATTCTGTACGTAATTTATACTTCCAGTATTGAAAACAATGTGTAGGTGACCTACATTGCACAGCAAATCATACAATAAATGCAAATTATTTAAAATAGTAGAGTGAGGCCTATAAA